GTCTAACCAGTCAGCAATCCAATAAAGTCCATATTTTACATGTTTAATATCAGTAAGTGATATATTTGACGGCAGATAAAATCGATTCTAAATAGGTCAAACATGAAAATTGATGCTTTTTAAATGTTAGCATACGTGTTTTATGATTACAATTATTAATTTTGGTTAAATATGCGTAATATTTACCTGTGAAACATAACCTTTTCTGCTATTATAATCGACCAAATCATAAAATTTTAATAATTTCAAATCATGAAACAATATATTCGATGGATGGCTGTAATTTTTTCTAGTAATAATTCTTATAGCTCTTTTCTGTAAAATAACAGGTAGCCAGCAAGGCCTTTTTTTTTTGTACATGAGCACCTGACCCTCAAAAAGTCTGTGCACGCCACTGCGCAGAGAGCCGAGGGGACGCAAACTAAAACATCGATACCATGGCGCTTGTATCGATATGATTCAACAGAGGAGAAGGGTAAAATCTGCGGAATCAAAGTGGGCGTGTCACAAGAGTGGGCGTGTCTAAAGCATAAACACTGTGGACTACGAGGCCTATATGACGATATCCTTAGACCCTGCTTGATGTGTTTACAGCCTGACCCTGACTCCAACACTAAGGTTAACCAGGAGAAATGTGACCCAAGTAGAGTTCTCCTGAAAAACTGGTGCCGTACAGTAACGCCCTTTTTGTTCTTGTCCAATCAGGTGGTGCCGCACGGCATCGCCCATTTTTTTTTTGCTTGCTTGTCCAGTCAGATGTGTCCCTTTAAAAAAGTCTGTCAAATCAGGTGTGTCGCTTTAGAATCTCCTTTCCTTGTGACACGCCCACTCGTCCGCAGGGACCCCTACTGCAGCTGAGGGTTTGGTATCGATATTTGGATAGATCCGCCCATCCCTAAATGTAGGGGTCTCCGGAAACTTTGCGCGCTCGTCCACTTTCTTTAGTTTGGTTGTTCGTGTCCAGGATCCTGTGGCCAGTTTCAGGCCGGACTGTGTTTGTGCTTTAGCTCCTGGCTGAACGGTGGCAGGAAACCCAGTTGGTGTTCCTGGTTCTTCTAGTGTTTCTGTCGGTGAGTTCGGACTGAGGTCCCGGTGAAACGTGTCATCATCAGAGAGCAGGAGGACGCGTTCAGCTCCGCCTGACCCTAACTTTGTCCAACTTCCACAATGACTTGATGGAAACCAGCAGCAGCAGCGGCGAATGGACCAGGTGAGGCTTTTACTTCAAAACGACGTCACATTTCCTGAGTCTCTAACAACATACCTTTTTAAGCTTCACGTTTTTTGTGAAGAAAAACAAACTTGTTTAGTATGTTTTACCTGCTCATCATCAGTCCTGTCTGCTGCCAACAGTCAGTTCTGATAAATAAACCAGAGAAATAAAAGCCTCTGCAAACACACAAACTGGACTGCTCCTCTGGAACTAAGTGAAACAAACACACAGTTACAGGTCTCTGTGTGAACCCTGCTCTCAGTTAAATTACACTTCATGTCTTCATAAAAATGGTAAAAAAAATAAAGTTACATGTCTAGATCAGATTTTAATTTGATTTGAAGTTATAGCTACTTAATACTCCAAATTACTGAAGTTAAAT